CCCCCCCCCGTATCCCCTGCCGCTCTCCGCCCGACCGGAAGGGAGGAAGCGAAAGTCGTAAAGTATCAGTTTCAGATTTGAGAGTTCGGCGTGTTTCAGCGAGATGGATGGGCTTTACGAGCGTGATGCGAGTCGAATAGCGTCGGGAACCACCTCCGTCGCCTCCTCCATACGTTTTCCACAGTCCGTACCCTATATTTCTATAAGCTACGGCAGCGCCTCTGGCGGCAGTTTCGTATCGACGTCGTTTAATAACCTGCAGATTATGCTGGGATTTGACGAGGCGTGGCCACGGGTCATTCGGCTGGATTTATTTTATACGAAATTGACTTTAGACAGTTAAAGTATAATGACCATCGGATATGGCGTTTGTGCCGATAAGATTTTTTAGACTCACGTGCTCGGACGATGAGAATAATAACAGAGTGCAACGTCGTCCTTTCATTTAACACATCGACGAGTCTTCCTAACGGTCTTCGTTCGCTCGGAGGTACAATCGGTTAATGAGATCGCACCAAAATACGAGTTCCAAACAGGCATCTACCAAATTCACTTAACCTCAGCAACCTTATTATCAATTAACGAATACACGAGACACGACGATCTCGGGTCTCGTGTATGAAAAATGCGGGCGAGCGAATGTTTGGCCGACGGTGCTGCCATCTGTCGCTTCGTCTCGGTACTAAGGGGCCCTCGCCTCTGTTTTACGGTTTCGAGGCGTCTTTCGATGGCTAACAAATAACTCCTGGGACCCTGCTCGTATCTCTCTCTTAATACGTTATTGAAAAATCCTTTAGAGATGCCATAAGAGACGTCTGTTAGCTGCGTTACCTACTCGTTAAGCCTCTCTTAAGGCACCTTTAAGCCGAGAGAGCGCTGGTTTCATAACAGTGACTAAGTAAAAGTTACACCCTTGACCAACATTAGCTCGAATAAACTGTTTTCTCGTATCACAAAAATTCGTATATCAAATGCCCAGTGTAAGAACTGCGCACTGACAGCCATGTATCACGTGACGATGCCACGTTGACTTTTCTAACAGTCGCCTTAAAAGAAGGTACCCAGTACGGCGTCTCTGAACAATGATCTGATCCTCTCGACTAAACGATGCTTAATAAAGGTTACAAGAGTGAGGCACGAGTAAGGCTATGAACGAATGGAACCGGCTGATTCGTAAGAATTTATATGAAAGACTGGATAGACTCTTCCAGGCGAGGTCGAACCTGCGACACCGTCGATGCTCCGAGATCGTCCCGATAGTGAAAAAAAAAAAAAAAGTTCCACCAACACATTTCAACGTCCTCGTAGTCGATTCGATATTTCTTTGACAGTTTATATACAAATTTTGAAAAATGTATTATAATATAATTCTATCCAGGAAACCCAGCCCTATCCTACTGACAGGCCAAATTCTCCGACTTGCCACGTCCTCCCGACCCTACACCGTAGGACGCTGGAGTGAAGTTTGATGAAAGTGAACTAGAAAGTAACTCAGCGAATGAGATAGCTTTTGGGGGCTGGAGACTCCTCGCTGAAAATCTCCCCCTTTTCTTCGGCCATAAAGTTAGATCGGATTTGCGTGGCAACCGAGGTACAAATCACAAGTACACTCGAGTAAACGAATATTCTGAAGCCGTTCCGCCCTCCCCGCCCCCCCGAACACCACACTTCCGAAAAACCGTCCCTCTTCCGTTCCGTACAGTTCATTCTCCTTCTCGTGAATTATAATTGGTTGGGTTTAAACTTGCCACTCTGTGATTAAAATCACGTGACTTTACCGACTGGGAACTCGATCATCTTCTTACGCAAATCTCGCTGGCTGCGGGAGAATCTCCGTGGGCGAAGAGGAAGAGGCCACGGTACGAGAGGGTTGATAGGTGAAGGAAAACGGAACGAAAGATTAAGTATGGGAGTTTATGGGAAAAGCTTGAGGATGTAGCAGCCGTGTATTTTCAACGTCGCCCTTTTTCGCCCTAGTCAATCCAGGCACTTTTATTCTCGGCTAAGAAATTTTTCAAACTTTCGCACGAGACTTAAGGACGTTTCGTGCGGCTATTACGATTTCTTTATCCTTCGAACTTATGAGATGTTTATGTTTGTTATTTCACGTCTGACGAATATTTATACGCAATTTCACTGCCAGTATTATCGAACAAATAAATGAACACAGTGTGGTTTAGGTGGCCAAAATTTAGCACGGGCTCTTTGGTCGTGAAGTTCTATAGGATAGGAAGTATATACTTCTTTTTTATCTGAAAACTCTTTATGGATTTACAAAAGACGCGATAATGATAGTATGAATGATGAGCTTTGGGGGAAAAAAAAGAAGAAATAAAGCTCTACCGAGAAGTGGAAAAATATACTTATTGTTCGAATTTCGAGAAGCTCGGTTTCTTTAGTGTTCGTAAGTTTGCGAAAGTTGGTTAATGCGTGCGTACCAAAAAACCCGCAAATACAGTCTACCTTCGAAAATTCATAAGAATTTTTTTTCTTCGACACAAACATTTTCTATTTTGCAATCTGTCCTTTTGCTGCTCCGTCTTTTTTTTTGGCGGATTCATTTTTCTTCTTTCTTATCTACATCTTCGACTTATCTCTCAGAGTGACATCTCCGTGTGACGAATAGCAGAAAAAAAAACAATTTGTACTAAACGAATCGACTCGAGAGATCAAAGTCTGAGTGAAATAATAAAATGTGATAAAATTATTCATCAAAATTACGTAAAAAGTTCGTTAAAAACCGCAATAACATTATACAGAATAAAAATGTAAATTATCATTATTTTCATCAAAATTTTCTCGATCAAAATCTCAAACCACAAAGTTCGACGAATAAATTTCGCAATTTTCATATTCTTATACCTAATCAAAGTAATGATCGATCGATGAAAAATGTCTTCGTCCGATAACTTCCCTGAGCTTAAGGTCAAAGTCACAGCAGCACGATCTACGCGATAAAGATTGATACTGGCAAAATGAAAAAAATTCGCCCTCAGGTTAGATTCTGTCAAGCCACAATTTTTCAACTCGTCCCTTCAAGCCGCAAGAGACCCGTGAATAACGAACTACGATTTTAATAGGAATTAAACGAGCCGTTGGCAATGACGGATGCCTCGTTGTTTGGGTCGCCGCCATAGCCTCTCATAATGCGTATAGCTCAGACGATTTGAAAATAAGAAGCAAGGCCACTACGTAGACAGTAGGACCGACGGAGAGAAGCGTAGTAGCCGTAGAATGAAAAAGAGAGAGAGAGAGAGAAATGTGTATATACATATACACAGGGAACGAGAGAAAACTTGAGGACAATACAAATCGTTTAATTATACGAGCTGAAACGAGTAGCCGACGAAAGGTGGGAAGACGCTAAGGTGATAAAGTCTTCGGATATTATCCGTAGGAGAAGCAGCTACGTAATAATTGTGAAATTCCAGCAATAAGGAACCAAGTCGATCGCTCGGCTCCGCGTTTAACGCTTTTCTGATTCAAACGACATACACCAACGATCTCATTACATTCCATTGCATTAATTCGCCCGACAGCGACGAGTTCTCCCTATGAAAGATTCGCAGACGCCATCTATCCTCGGCTCAGCCACTCCGACATTTCCTACGACTATTTTGAATCCGCCTTTAACCGTATACCCATATACCGTGCCACGTGTCCCTTTTACCTACATACTTCCTACACTCGACTCACCTCAAGTTCCTTCCGGCAACCGTTCCACCCAGCTCGCGTAACAAGAGGGATGAAAGAGTGTCGACGACCCTTCTCAATTAATTGAATGACTATCGTTAGGGTAATGACATTTCGGAGTTCTATTAATTAACCCTAACGCCCAGCCCTAACGACTGAACTTGCGTTAGTTCGCGCGAAACGAAAACAGATGGAGACTGCTGCAGCACGCTTTTTCCAACTCCCGGTATCCCGCGAGGGTTTAACGGAGGTCAGCCAGGTCGTCTCTGGGGTCGCTATGGGATTCTGTACGCAGGGGAAAAAGAATCACCAGTTAAAAACCCCCCCTCCGTGTTTTCTAATACGGCCGCACGATATGCGTCTCCGAGTGGGTAAGCGGAATGAAAAAAAAGAAGTTTGTCAAATTTTCAAAACTTTCAAGGATACAACTTTTTGGCCCTCCGGCTTTTCTTCTATCAGCTCCCCTACGCGGTACCTACTTGTTAAATTATTAACGTACTCACTACGGTTACGTGACGCTATATATTATATATATATATATATACATACTACGATATGCTATGCTTCCCATGTCCAGCTCACTGGTAGGGCGGAAAGTATCATGCGACAAACTTAAGTATTAATGAAGGAATGGTAGCGGTCAGCGGTCAGCGGGCAGGAAGTATACAGGGGGTGAACGCGAGAGCGATGGGAGTCGAGATGAATATCGTCAGAGGGAAATGATAAGACCGCTAGGGGATGAAATAAATGTACGAGAGAAAGGTACTAATTAGATGTGCCCGAAAGATAATGCTCCTCGTCAATGAGAAATTCTTTTAGGGACCGGAAGTGGATGGAAGGGAAAACCTTTATGTTTGACGCACGTGTATAAAAGTAAATTGAAGAGAATGCATCGATGGCAGGGTAAGAAATAAAGAGGAAATGAGAAAAAATGGATGACGCATATTTTCCATCCCTTATTCTTCCGGGACATATGTATCGCGTACTGGGTATATACAATATACATATATATTCTTTGAACGAGGCTGAAAATACAGACTATCCGAGCTGCCGTTTAGTTAATATAAAAAATATGAAGAATTTTGCGCTTGGATATTACGCCGGTGGCGCTGGCGTCGCCCGACTGTATCTCGATTATTTACACAAAGACGTGAAAACAAAAACAGAGCAGGGAAGAATGACCAGTGCTGTTATCGGTATTGAAAACAATTTGCACTGCTGATAGGAAACGTTGGGAAGTACCACGGAACGGAGGCCACCAAATGATTTGCGGGTTGAACGCTCGAGGGTGTGTAGTCCCTCCAAAGGTGTCCTGAGGAAACGACGGGGAAGGCCTAATGTAATAATGGACATTAATGACATTGTACTCGGTAGCTTTTGACGCTAACGGTATTATAATTAAATTCCAATTTTTTTTTTTTTTTTTTTTCAAGCGCCTTCCAGTGAGTTATTAGCAAGCTCGGATAAAAACATTTTGCTTCACGTAACGATATGTACGTGGTGACGTATTTTCTTTAAGGATAAATCAAGAACGCCTTGGAAACAGTAAGCTAATTTGAGTGATAATTTTTATACGCAACTTTGCGATAAATAATTTTTCCGAATATGCATATAGACTGTCAAGGTAAAATTGAACAATCAGGATCAACCAGTAGCTCTTGGCGTCTGTAGCGTCGTGTCGCAGGCGTTGCGGGCAACGCCCACTATACCACTTGGCGTCGCTTCAACCCCCGGGTTACCCTGAGCCAACTTACTACCCAACTACTCAACTCGCTATTCAACTCATGCTGGAAACTAGAAGCTTGAGGCTCAAGATGCTCGGGGCGAATAAAATGGAAGCAGGGAGAGGGAAAAGTACGAGAAGAGAAACAGAGCGGTAAATGGGGGGGGGGGATGATCAAGAGCGATCATGACGTTAAGAACAAGGACGAGGTGTGGCGACCCTGAAGAAGTAGCCAGGTGGCATCAGAGGTAGAGTGATGCATAATTTGCCGACCACGCCTTCCACCTACAACCCCTTTAACGGCAGCCACCCTGTCCCGCGCGCACGCACGTCCGCACACAATCAGGCAAGCGGATCCCGGTTTAAGTTAGATTCGATGACAGGAGCCGAGCGGGTGTAGCGGGACACTTACGGCGAGAGGCAAGGCGCAAAACGCAAGAGGGTGAATTAGGGTTTACGGACGAATGGGGTAGTATACATATTACACACCCAGAGTACAAACAGAAGGGAGGATATTTGAGCACCCGCGGTACCTAAGTATGAGCCTCTGAGGAAGGAGCCGCGATCATTAGGTTCGCTGTTTGTTCTCTGGTAGAACCTGCGACTATCGGGAGGTTCTAATTGTTACGTCATCTTCGTTTCTTCGGATCGTTCGACGCTCGGAGGTCCAAGTGGTATTGGCAAGAGGCGAAGAGCATCGGGCGACAGGTCTACCGGGGTCCAGGATGACAGGGGCTGAAGGACGCTGCGTACATCGAGGAGGCCTGGAGTGGAAGAGACGGAGGATCAGGTGCGTGAAAAAGGGTCTGGGCGGTTGGATTAAGAAGTAACCAGAAAGGATGGTAGACTGAGTGAACTGACCTTGCGCGTGGACGATGCCAAGGTGGGCGACGATGACGATCAGGACGACGAGAAACGGATGTGTCGGGAACGTCGACGTCGAATGACACCTCATCTTTCCAGTCCTTGCGCGATGGCTGCACCTCACCGCACTTTCTCGATTTCGCCTTCCCTTCTACCTGGCCAAACACCTCGTCACTTTATCACTCGGTGTCGCGTTGTCACTTTGTCACACGGCCACTCTGTCACTCGCTGTCACACTGTCACACTACCCCACTCCCTCACCTCCCTGTCAGTCTGTCACTTTGCTGCTCCGACGCGCCACTTTGATCTTTCCAAAACGTAAGGCTCACCAGCCATCACGCTCCTCGTATACCGGTTCCTCTGCCTTCCTTGCCCACCGTCAACCAATTGCCAGGCCTGGCAGAAGCCTGATGGCAGGACTCCCACCGATCACTTTAGTCCTGATATTCAGCAGCTCCGTCCTGAAACCGTGAGGTTAATAGAAAAAAATGATATCGTCTTGTGACACCTTAAATATTGAAGATCTTATTCGAAAACCCTCTTGCCGTAGCCTAGTTCTATATAGCCAACACAAAAAGCACAATGACAGTCCCCCTTTCGCCCTTGACACGTCAATCATCCAAAATCGATTTATATTAATTCTTTATACAATGTTTGTATTGTGAGAATATTCCATTGTTAAAACATTGCCATCTCGTATATCTCGCGTCTCGTGATATAATCATTCTCTGCAGCAAATTTAAGATGCGAGGGGGCGGTCTGCAGGGACTTTGAGGTCGGAGGGGGAAAGATGACGTTAGTGGTTAACGATGGTCGGGCTTTCGAAAACTACGAGTCAGAGAGTGCCAGTGGAGGTGGCGGAGGTGGTGGCAGCAGTGGCGGCGGGTTCCCTCGGAACAGCCAGTCCTGCCACTGTGAAACGGTAAATCGACTTTTTTGACGGGTTTTATCGTTGATGATTGATGAACTCGGAACACGTAGCGAGAGCCGCCGACGCCGCTGCTACCTACCGCCGCGAATCTTCTGCGAAGGCCTATTCACCTATCCACCACTTCATCTTCGTGTAATACCACTTCGGATAGCTGGAAAGAGCCTACTAAGATCTGCGCACGAAAGGTAAGGACCCGAAAAGTAAGGCATCAAGGGTATAAAACTAGTTGGGTCAAGCCATTCTGCTTCGACCTTCTTCTTTTATGTTTTCACCAACAACAACTCCCTTTCCATGTCGACCACTTTTCTTCTCAACCACCGAGACATGATTAAATAAAACCACTAAATGATTAATTGCAAGACTCTCGTGTTTTTTCGTGGCTGCTTGCCTGCCTACCAGCCGACTTACCACCCCATCTCTACCTTCTCTACTAACATCCTTCCTTTCGAACTTTAGACGAGTTTAAAGAACCGCCCTACGGCTAAGTTTGTCCAGGGCGAAGTAATTCGATAGAGCGAAGCAAGAGAGAAACAAAAAAGAGGAACTTGAAGAAAGTCTCGCGAATCCCCAATGGGCTCGAAATGCGTTACTCCCGTTATAATTTTGTTTTAAACATCAATCTCTAACAGCATTCGCGTACATTTCGGTGTTATTAAAAGTATTTTATGAAATTAAAAATATCACAAGTGTCAAAAGTGTCCAAGGGATTTCTCTTAACTGTCACATTTGCCACCATTTTATATCCTCCACATTTCGAATCTCCGTAATCTCTTACTCTGACATTAAAAAAGCCAAGTCTAACCCCGTTCGATCGCCATTAATCTACCCTTGTCACCTGAATCAACCGATTTTTTAATAATAACAATAAAAAAAGATGCAATTACCAAAGCTGGAAGAGGTTATGTTTTTTCTTCTGGAGAAATCCCGCCTAGTCACTTTCGCGGCAAAATTAAAGCACGCGTACGAAACATCAAACCAAATGACACTGCGTGGTTAAAAGTATCGCAAAAATTCAAAAGCATCAATGTCATCAGAATCCATATCTCTGTTGTCGAAACTCACTATTAATATTGTCAGACCCCGTGACTTAGGATGCACAACGCGCTCTCGTTCCTTTCACGTTAAGGGATTAGCAGCGTCAGACAACAAAGGCATACGCAGATTAAAATTAACGATGACCATCGCCTAAATTCTTTCTTGTTTATCAAAAGTCAGGGTCCAAAAATTCTGTAATATTATTTTACGAAGCGCGTACAGTCGTGTCGGATCAACCGGTGCGTACGAAATAATAAACGCGTACGCTCGCGTCGATCGCGGGCTCAACACTGGCAGGCAGAGGCGCCTCTACGGGAGCTTCGTAGTTCTCGGCGCGTCCGTTCAGCGTCGCAACGCCCGCGGTGGCTATGAAACTCGCCACCACATACACCCCCATCATAATGTCAAGCAATCGGTGCGCCCTAGCGTTCCTCTATGCAACACGCTCGGCTGGATTCATGGTATTTGCCGAGTGATATATATCGATACATACACTACTTCGATATATCGATATATCTCGTTCGCATCCGATAACTATCGTTGAGCCAAGCCGCGATTACTAAATTTATAACGCAGCATCGACTGGGTTACAATTAGTGGACAAATAATTGACATTCCGTTTTCTTGAAATAGCTTAATATCATTACTAAAATACTTAAAGGTTATTTCCAGAATGGTAACTACGTTTAATATATGAAAAATTGATATTCCATCGAAGTTCGAGGAACTCTTGACTCAAAATTAAAAATGATCTCTGAATATTGACTGGTCTTCCGTTAAGTAACGCCTCCGTCTAATTAGCTTCCAATATTCTTTCGAGATTCCGGATCATTAACTTTGAGCGGCTGTCGATCGTTAAGGATAATGAGCGATGACAGCTTCTCCGAAAGTAACATCGGGCTGCTTGCCCAGGCCCGTAGCCATTATAAGTATTTTCAATATTTTCAACGTCTCCGGGCTTGGCTACCGCCGACACCAGCACCCTGTCGATCTTTCGACGTTAGCGATTGTGAGTCAGCCTAGTCCAATTCCCGTATGGGGATACGGCGGGAGAATATGAGTAACGTCAGTGGGATTTGTATTCGTGCACCTAACTTCAGCTTTCCAATTTAATTGCCAGTCAGTGGATGAAAGAGTCCGTTGAATATTCGATTCGTTAAAATCAACAAACTACCTGAAAAACTGATACAACCAACTGATTGACACCTGCGCAATATCGAAGCAATTGCTACCTTCTATAAAGAATTATTGCCAATCACTTTTTTTTAAAGCATTCCGTTATTGAGAATTAAGTTGATAAAAAATCAAAAGATTGTTATTGGCATATATCAAACGTGATGGCTAAAGGGAGCGTTGTAACTTGCTGCGAGGAGGTACTGCAGTTGCTGAAGACACTTGAAGTTAGTTGACGATCGAAATGAGTGATCTTTTTTTTTCTAAATTACGCCTTTATGCATTTATCTGTCAATAAACGAGGCTGTTTGCATTATCTAAAAGACGAGAATTTAAAGGGGATAGAACGGCATACCTGCAAATCCGAGCATTAAGATAACAAAATTTGGTGGATGAAATTGATGATTGCAAAACAGACGATTATAGAATATATGTAAATATGTGAAAATGGGAGTCTTGTATGCAAAAGTCAATGAATCATAGCGCCATACGTAAGACGTAAGTCAAAAGATGGAAGCTGAAAGACGAAGCGCGGAAGAGTTCTCGTCTAAAGGCGAGTTCTTAAAAGCGTCACTGAGGACGAACGGGAGGGGCTCTTGAAATTTACATTTTACCAGAGACTGCGGAATATTAATGCCGCCTCGAGACGTTAAAAAATCAGAGTCCCTCCTTCTTCGTCTGTTACTCCTCTCTTTATTCGACTGTGGTAACTCGCTGATTGTACTGATTGTGATTCCTTTGCTGGGATTCAAAAATATACGTATAAATAATCTCGAATAATCTTTTTCTTCGGAAAAAAAAAGAATCTTATCAATCTCACGGTACACTCAAACCCTACATTTGCTCAAGTCTGATTAAAAACTCCTACCAGACAGGATCCGACCCCGTGACAAAGATATTAACTCCCATCAATACACTTTCTTCCAATAAAACCAGCATCAGACAGCTTACGTTTAATAAAGCTATATTAATCCTCGCTATTTGGTTTATTACTTACCGTGAAATCATTAAAGGTCAAATATCGAAGTTCTCGTGTATCCATTTCCAGTAATAAGCGGTAATGATGGCAGTCGTTATCCTTATTTACTTCGCGCCTTCTTTGCACTATCCTTCTTTTGATCGAGTCCGATCTTCCCAAAGCTTTCAGCGACAAGTTTTAACGCGCTGCTCGCGAGGAAGGAGTATATTAACGAAGACTATAAGCCCGACCTTTTTACTAAATTGTCAGGTTAAAGTTTGAAGCGGGACGGCAACGATATTTAATGCCTTCGAGACACGCGACCTATCGTTTCCAACGATGTCGCCACTGTCGTGAGTGTCGCAGGAACTGTGGCCCCTGTCGGTACTGTAGACACGTCGCCCAGGCTTCGATGTGAACGGGGTCACGAAGAATACGAAATCTAGTCAAACCGTTTCATGTTTCATATATCATCAGACATCCTTATCAGTGATCGAGTATTTTCGAAATGTTTACTTTTGACTCTGCTCCTTATCAATCGATATCCTTGCGTCAGTCAATCTTATGAATTCTTTTGTTGTCGCTCCCTTCGGATCGACCTTCGAAACAGACATCCCATTTCCCTTTACGAAATAACCCGAAGGTTTCAAGAGGATGAAGGAAGGATGCCCGTTACATGTTACGAACGTGGCTGTCTATAACATTAGACGACGTTATTCCTTCGTAGGGGAGAATTTTTTTTACAGGCAGACCTTCTTCGATCTCCGGCCAAAATTAAAAGGATGACTTCCGTTTCTGTCAATCGATTTGGTTAAGAAAAATTATTTTAAGGTACCTAACGCCTACCTTCGATCGAATCTTTTTTTCTCCTGTATGCTTTATGTTACCAGAAAGAAGCCCGCGTCCTCGTGTTAGCAGATCCGCAGATGTGCCTTGTCGCGACGTTAACCCCTAATAAACCACAACGTAGATAATCGAATACACGACGCGTAACAAGCTCCGAGCACCTACGTACAACGTTGTGCAGCAGTAATTTAGCTACCATTGGTTTGGTCAATAGCCAATTCCTATTTGGCTCGTCTCCAAGTGACCAAACAAACCAGCCACACCGCGAAAGGTCCAAGAGAACAAGAGAGCCCTAGTCTCCTACGTCCCTACCCTACAGCCCCTTAGTAAAGTGCACGGAAGTCCTTGCACTCACAATTGCAACATACTTTCACGCCTTCCACATATCTCGAGATTTCATCCACGAGCACCCTCTACAGTCATATCCAAGACTCCACGATTCAATATCGCATCCCCTCTTTCGTCGGTCTACATTCTCCATCATCAATGGAGCATCCTGAATCACATTTTCCTTATGGTTCACCCTTGCTCCAACACATATACCAACATCGTCATGTAAATATTTATCAATAAAATTTTACGCGCCTTCCAACTTACGAGGTGAGCAAAGTCTTGACTTCTTATAAAGAAAAAATCGTAAGCTGTACGTGACGCATCCATCCTTACGTCTCCAGGGACTCAATTAGTAACAACCAGAACATAGTTTTATTTAAGTTACTCTAAAGAATACACTATCGGAGGGTGTCTGTCCTTAGGGACTGACAATACTCCCAGGAACGACACATCATATCCAAGTGGCTGACGGAGGGGGTAGACAGACTTGATAATGCATGATATTGTTCCAAGAGTGACTCAGCGGCCGCCTGTCTATCTGTCTGTTTGTCTGTCCTCTGCTTCCAATCTCTCTCTCTCTTGCTCGGTCATTCAGACCGTTGCTCATTAAGGGCCACACGCTATCGCTCGGCTTTGCAGACGTCAATAACGTGCACGTAGGTACATAGGGTGAAGGTGCGTGAGTGCGTATCGGCCTGCGTGCAATCCCAGATGCATGTACGCTCTCTAATACTAAACACAGAAGCGCATATTCATATGAGAAACTGCATGGCTGTATGTACGAGAGCAAGTCCTTTTTTTTTTGGTTGGTCATATTTGTCAAAATGGCTGCGGCAACTGAAGGAAATAACGTGAAAAAGAACAGATGCGTATCTGACTGTCATATATATTGTCTCCCTCCTTCCCTTTCCTTATCATTGTTATTATTATCGAGTCATTCGTTAAACTCAGAGAGGCGTGCGAGCGTTCCCATTGACTCATGCCAGTCGTCACATATGCACTCTGTCTTGCCCTTTTTATTGTTTCACACATGAATATTACCAGAGCTTAACTATTACCGCGTACGTATACGTGCCTTCGCTTTCTTTACTGCTCGGCAAAGTATTAGTGGGAGTAAAAATATTCCTGCTGATTGTACAATCCATTACAGTACGTCGTTTGTTTAACGACTGTTGATTTTTGAATCAAGAGGTAAAAAATGACTGCAGATACGTTTTATCGGCTGAGCATGAATTATAACCGTGATGGTAGAGTCGAGAGGTACAAATTTTAACGTGTGTAAGTTCAGTGTAGGTTTGTTCGTATGAAAAAAAAAAGGAACCGAAAACGAATTGATGAAAGTGAAAGGGAGATGAGGCGAGGGGAGAAGGGGAGGTGGTAGCTGAAAAAAATAAACATTGGAGAATATATGGCGACGCGTGGCCGGAAGTGACCGGAAGTCGCGACGCGTTGGCATCTATTTTCCCTGGCAACCGATGCTCAGCCACTGGAGGATTTTTGTGGCATCCTGCCAGCCACCCTCGGGGACTGAAAGATGGAACGACGTATTTATTTACCAGGAAAGACGTTCGCGAAGCCACAACTTGCAATTCGCAAACTCGCGGCCCCGCCCGTACCTACGATAATGGCGATTTTATGTTACGATTCCAGAACCGTCCGTGCAGTTCCGCAACCTACCGCAACCGCGCTTCACTGCAGCGCTGCAATGGCTTTTATTTTTGGTTTCTTTTATTTTTATTTTTATTTTTATTTTATTTTTTTCCTTACCTCCATGCACATAAACATTACGCACTGAAAACTTTCAGAACGCTCTACCTATACGGGAAAGAGCATCGTCCATCATGACTTCCGTTGATACGGTGCACGTATATCTAGAAGGCAAGGGCCCATTCGAATTTCACTAGCAAATCCGCCGTTTCAGGACGCGCGTTATGCCACTGTACATACACAGCACAGTTATCCGTCTAC